GGGGGGCAAGCGGGGCGCCGGGATCGGGGGACTCACCCTCCCTGGGCGCCCCGCCGGAGCACCATGCCCAGACACACGCCGAATCCGGTTCCTAACTCCGTTGCTTTGGACGCGCCTGGACGCGAGGCCCCCAGCGCTCAGCCACAAACTACAGCTTGGCAGGCACAGCGCTCCTCACCGACCTCCCGGGCAGGCCCAGCGCGTCTCCACCCCACCGCAGGCTCGGCCGGTGCACCCGGCCGTGTGCGTCCCCAGCCGCCTGCACCTGCTTGCTGGCCTCCCTGCCACCCCAGATTCCCTCCGCGCATGCGCCCTCAGCTCGGCGCGCCAGACCCCCAGCACAGCCACACTGCCCACCCCGGCGAGGCCCCACGGGCTCGCCACCTGCCCGTACTTTGGCCCGGGCCGCGAGCAGGAGGCCCCGGAGGGAGAGGAGGAGTAGGCGGAACCGCAGGGCCGCGAGCGGGACCAGCACCGCCCGCAGCTGCCGCTCGAGGCTCTGGGACAGGGACAGGACGAGCAGGAGCTGTGAAGGGACCGACGGACAGATGGACGGACAGATGGGGGGACGACAGGCAGAGAGAGGACGCACAGACGACGGACAACGGACGCACAGACAGGAGAGAAGGATGGAGGAGGGGAGGGAGGGGCTGGAGAGCCCTTGGACCCCTTGTGCCAGGTCTGGCCCCTCGCTGGCCGCCATGGGGGCAGGGGGGACTGCCGCTGGGGCGGGGGTCTCACCTCTTTCAAGCGCTCCATGTCCTTGAGGTAGAAACCGATGTAGAAGAGGCTCAGGTATGAGTTGACAAACTGGAACTGCAGGAAGGAGGCAGGCGGTGGTCACCCTGCACCCCCACCCCACTCCTTGGAGCCTTCCTTATGCCCCCATACAGACCCCACAGCTTCCCTGCTGTCCCCCTGCCCGATGATGGTGACTCACCAGGACAACTTTGATGATGAGGTGCTTCTCATAGGCGCTCTCCAGCCGGTAATTTTCTAGGGGCCGAGGGGAAGAGTGAGCGGGCAGCCGCGGTACCCCCAAGGGTGGCAAGGATCCCAAGGGGCAGTGGAGACCTTCCTCCCCGAGACCCCCTGGCAGGGCGTACCCATGTCATTGAGCCAGATGGCTAGCTTCTTGTAGCCCTCGGCACTCACACTGACAATTAGGGCCAGCATGACCTTAGGCAGGAATCGGGCGAGACGGGGCAACCCCTTCACGCTCAGCACCAGCTCCTGCGGGAGAAGGGGATTCTGGGCTCATCCTGGCTGCAGGGCTCAGCCCAAGGTGGAGCTGGGCACCAAGGACAGGGCGGGTGGGGGTAGGGGGGAGGGTTACCTGCAGCTGGAAGCAGCCAAGCATGAGCAAGAAGACACAGAGGAGGCACGCCAGGCACAGGGGGAGGCTCACAAGCAGCTGGAAGAGCAGCCGCTTCCATGGCGGGTAGTAGAACTCCTCGGCCCGCGTGATGGGGCTGATGCGTCGCACGCCCTGATGGTGGGCAAGGGCCGGGCCCAGCCTGAGATTAGAGGGGCCACCTCTGCCTCACGCACCTCTTCCTATCCTTGGAACTCAATTTCCCTCCATCATGTGGAGGTGACCCTCTCAGTCACCCACCTAGGGCACTGTTCCCAGTCCCTCAAATCCACCTTCCACCCCTCCCCCTGGGGAGCACACAGAGCCCGCCTGGGTTTGACATTCGCTCTTTGATGGAAAAACGCTATTCACAGCTCTCTGCCTTTGCTCCTGCAGTGCCCCCCACCATTTACCTTTGCCCTGTCTCCAAGACCCTGGACTCAGCCCCCAACTGACCCTGAACTGGGGGCGTGGCTCCTCCACAGCTTCCCCAGGTGAGTCCAGCGTCCCCCACTTGTATGCCAGCTCAGCCCCTCTCCGCTTCCATTCCTCTAGGAACAGCGTCGACCAGATCACATTGAAGAGGGCAAAGACCACGCAGGAAACATCCCGGCTTGTCTGTGAGTGGCAGAGAAGAGTTGAGTCATTGTTCGTGCCAGTCCAGAAAGGAGGGCGCCTCTGAATCCCCCAGACCTTGCCGGGTCCCTGCTCAGTACCTGATCAGTCTCTGTGAATGTATACAGGACAGACCCGAAGACGGCTGGGTATACCATAGCTGACGTGTAGAAGCCCAGCCAGGCGAAGTACATGGCAATTTTCACACCAAAGTAATCACAGATGTCATCTGCCAGGGGACAAGTGGGTCTCAGTCACCCCCTGCCTGTCTGCTGGGACTCCCCTCCCACCCCCCAGCCCAGGCAGCACCTAGCGGCTGGTTTTCACACACGGCCTGCACCCATGACTTCATGAGGCGGTTCAGAATACGCTGCTCATGGACAGGGAACACTTGCTGGATGATCCCACGTGCTGCCAGCTCGGGGACTGTGGAAGGAGGAGCACAGGTGATCCCTGCACCTCCACCTGTGCCTAGCCTGGCTAGCCCCCTTTTGTCTGAAACCCAAGTCACAGTGTTTTTTTTTTTTTTGCCTGCTCTTAAACCTCTAGAGCTCTTTCCAGGGGAAGAGTTCTAGATGGATAGAAGATCTGATTCTCCTTCAGAAATTGTAGGTGTAGGGGCAGGCAGGGAGGATGCAAAGGAACCCGGAGAGTGAGGAACCACGTTTTTTGTTTTGTTTTGTTTTGTTTTGAGACAGAGTCGCACTCTGTCACCGAGGCTGGAGTGCAGTGGCGCGATCTCCGCTCACTGCAACCTCTGCCTCCCGCATTCAAGTGATTCTCGTGCCTTAGCCTCGTGAGTAGCTGGGATTGCAAGCACATGCCACCAACCTGGCTAATTTTTGTATTTTTCAGTAGAGACAGGGTTTCACTGGGGTACCTCAGGATGGTCTTGATCTCCTGACCTCGTGATACGCCCGCCTCAGCCTCCCAAAGTGCTGGGATTACAGGTGTGAGCCACCGCACCCGGCTTTTTTTTTTTTTTTTGAGACCGGGTCTCGCTGTGTCACCAGGCTGGAGTGCAGTGGTGCCATTTCGGCTCACTGCAACCTCCGCCTCCCGGGTTTAAGCGATTCTCCTGCGTCAGTCTCCCGAGTAGCTGGGGCTACAGGAGCACGCCACAAACCTCGGCTAATTTTTGTATTTTTAATACAGACGGGGGTTTCACCATATTGGCCAGGATGGTCTGGATTTCCTGACCTCGTGATACGCCCGCCTCAGCCTCCCAACGTGCTGGGATTACAGGCGTCAGCCACCGCGCTCGGTCTTATCTTTTTCTTTATTTATGTATTTATTTGCTTATTTTGAGACAGGGTCTCGCTCTGTCACCCAGGCTGGACAGAGTGCAGTGGCGCTACCATGGCTCACTGCTGACTCGAACTCCTGGGCTCAAGTGAGGCTACCGCCTCGACCTCCCAAAGTACTGGGAGCCACTGCGCCTGTTCCCATGTTTTAAATAAAACTCAGTTTGTGAACCTGAACGTCTGAGGAATGGTAAAAAGTTGCTGTTGGAAAGTGAACTTGGGTGGCTAGTTTCCTGGAGGGGAGTCCAACGCCCAGAGTCATACTACTCTGTAGGTGGAGTGCTGTCCATGGTCCCTGCCTCCACTTTATCCCAGACCCAGAAAGGGCCTCTCCTGGACCCCAGTCCCAGAAATGAGCCCCATACTTTGACTAAAGCCACGCCCCCTCAGCTCCTTGGTTTCCCAACTCTTTGCCAACCCCTAACTGGTTGGACATAAGCCCCGCCCTCCTGCCATGATAAGCTGTCCTCTCAGAGCTCCACCCAACTCAGGAGATAAGCGCCACCCTTTTGCTAAGGCCACGCCCCTTTAACTTATTGGGTACATCATTCTTTGCCAACCCCTGACTGGTTGGACTAGGCCCCGCCCTCCTGCTCCGATAAGCTGTCTTTGAAGAGCTCCACCCAACTCTCTGCCTGTGATTGGTGTTGGCCCCGCCCTGCTCACTGATTGGCTGGTCCTCCAGGAAGCGCACGTTGTGGAGCGCCTCTCCCTGCTTGGCACGCAAATTCTGCAGCCAGAAGCGGATGATGCTCTGGCGTTCCTGCGAGGAAGAGGGCGTGATCTCAGGGAACTCATAGGCACAGGATGCATGCGGGGGCCCAGAGCCGGCCTCACCTGGGAAGTGAAGAAGCGCAGCTCGCTCTCCACATTCTCATAGATAAAGTCCTCCTCGCAGGAGAAGCCGCGGGTGCCCCCGCCAAACTCGGCCTTCACTGCCTTGCGCAGACCCAGCTCGTCGGCCCCTCGGAGTAGGCTGTGAACAAGGCGGAGGAAGTGGGCTCACAGGGAGGCCCAGGCCCACCATCCTGGAGCTGAGGATGGTGCACCTGGAAGCCTTTGGGACAAACGCAGGGCAGCTGGATAGCATGGTTGGCACTTGGTAGAGCGGGGAGCCAGGTGGCAGACTCAGCGAGAGGCCAGGGACAGGGGACTCGCCTCTCATACGTGGCGGTGACAAAGAAGGCGTAGGCACGCGTGTGGCGGTGGTGGCGGACTTGCACGATGAGCTCGGGGATGCCCACGCGGATGTGGTTCAGCAGCCATAGCAGCGTGTGGTCATCGGTCGTGTCTGCCAAGGGGCACAGGGACCGATAGCTCTTGCCACGAGGGGGCCCAAGGCCTCCTACATATTCCCGCTCTGGGAAGCCGAGCTCAGGAGAGCCGCATCTGGGCACTGGGCGGGCGGGCAGGCGTGGGTACCTGGGAAGGTCATCAGCACGTCGCAGTTCTCTGTAGGCACTGTCTTCATCCACGCCTTGTGGGATACCAGGTAGCGACCCGCTTGCAGGAGCCGCTTCCCGAAAAGCTTATCTGGGGGGCAGCGTAGCAGGCCCAGGTCAGGCCACTCTAGGTTCCGAACCCAGCCTCCAGTCTTGGCCCCTCCGGCCCCCGCCAGGGCTCCTCACCACTCCACCTGGCATTCAAGGCCCCAGGAGCTCTGGGATTGGCTTATTTTCCTCCCTCCACGTCCTTGCACCAGCCAGCCTTCCTCCAGAAATGCCCATCCCCCCAGATCCTCCCTTACAAATCTTACTCATTCTTGAGGCCCAGCTCCGCCTCCAAAACCACAATCGATGGGGCGCTCACTAGCAGCCTTGAGCGCTTCACCACATTATGACAGCGCCGTCCTTGCAGCAGCCCCAGGAACTGGGTGCGGTTCTTACCCCCATTTCACAGGTGAGGAAACTGAGGCCCAGAGCGTTTAAGTCACGCGCCCAAGGTCACACAGTCGAGCTGGGATTTGAACCCAGGATCGTATGATTCTGTATTCTTCGCGGAGAGGCTCTCTCAAGCG